ATCTCCTTGGAATTGTCAATAAGTGTTCTTTTGTTTAATGTTGAAAGCTGTTTGAAGCTGGCGTCAGGATCTAATTTACGAACATCCTGTTGTCTTGGGCCTGTTTGTGGAATTCGGCTCTTTGGGTTGTTCAACACCAATCTGATCAAATCTTAAATTGTCTGATTCGCTCTGATACCCTACAGGGAGGAACTGGAGTGGACAGCGCCTTGGGAGGATCTGGGGCTTCATTTATAAAATGTTGCTCAGAAACCATCTTAAATTTGATCTTACGGTCATCTCTCAAATATGCATATGTGTGATCCATAGAATGAATGTATGCACAGAAAACCCACGTACGCCTCTTTCAGATGTGAAATCTATGAATCGCAAAGGATCTTGAACTTGCGAGCAACTGAATGGTTTCAGCTCTCAGCCTTGTAAACGACTCCTAATTAATGTCATTAACATATAAAAGATCACCAGTCATGGTCCAAATCGTTTAATTTACAACAGCAATTTTTTATTTAATTTCCAAAAGCCTGCAGTACCCCGACAAGAAAAAGTGTGTATCTGGCTCAGACCCAGATGTGACATTAAGCATTTTTCCATGTCAAATGCAGTTTTTACCAGTATGAGCATTGGAATGGATTTAAGCGCATGCACACTCCAAGATCAAATCTGTGCATACACACACTTTATAAATGAGGCCCATGGAGCGTCCCTGATGGCTGATGACTCTGGCGTGGCATCCATGATTCCTGGAGACTCTGGCATGGTGGCCATGATGGCTGAGGACTCATGCTGCCATTCCAGAGTCTCATCCCGTCATGGCTGCTACAACGGGACGAGACTCGGAAGGAATCGGAGGAATGGAGACCATGTCATGACATGGCTCTAAGTGGCAGTCAAGTGTAGGCTCTGACATGGAAGTCATTACAAACCCTAGGCTCGCAACCCTCAGTGCAGGGCATGCTGGAATACTCAGTCAGTCAAGCTCCTTGGCCACCGGAGCTGTCTTTGTTAAATCCACTGGAAGGATTCTCTTGAAATTCCACAAGTAGTTGGTCATTGTGATCACACTGCTATTTGAGGTATCCACTGCATTTTTGGCCAAATGAGGATGCTCTTGGAACAGCCATCATTTATAAAAGTATCTATGAACACAACTTAATTTGTTTTTGAAGTGGAATAAGGGAGTGGACATCTAATGGACATCTGGTCATACACAACAAAACTGTTTAAAATAAAATAATAATAATAATAATAAACCAGGAACCAGGACATGCTAAACCTGTGTTAAACAATGGTTACATCAGAAAAAGATAATGTACACTGATAATGAGTATGAGTCTATCATCACTGACTCCAACATACTGATGTCGGTGTTTAATAAAAGGCCAATTGGGGGAGGGGTGGCGATACTGACTGCCTGCAACCTGTGGATGGGGGCTGTGGGGAGGCTGTTTTGACATTTTGCACCACACCATGCATATCAGGGAAACAGTCGATTTGATTTGTGTTATATGTGTATTCAAAAAAGAAATTGTGACAACTTACATGATTTTCTGAACATCTCTCAACCCCCCTCTCAACCATTAGATGAAAGTCTGCCTGTTGCATGAGTGCTATGTTTAAAACATGGTGTAAAACTAAATGAACTTCATCACTTGTGGCCACGATTACACTAAAACTAAAATTAAGGAATACCTCAATCAAAGGTGGCCACAAATTAATAAGTCGCTGAAATTAATTCTTAATTTTGTGTCCATGTTATGTATCTTTTCCCTGCATATCATGTGCAGGGCTACAAAGTTGGCAACATGTCAGAGGAGGCACTTAGATATAGCCAAGGTGCATTTTTTATAATGTTTTTCTCTTTCAATTCTGGAACAGTAGCTTTCAATTCAAGGTTTGTATACGTTCTTGCTGTGGTGTAAACAAACAACCTTTACAAACAAATTCAAAATTTATCATGAATGCTACTAGCAAGCGACAGTCGTATCTGGAAGTCACAAATAGTCAAAACGCAGCATTAATCGGTGTTTGTGTGTGATGTACCAACAAAAGAGTGAAATTTCAACAGTCAATAGATGAGCCACCCCTGACCATAATCAGGTGTCAAGGACGTAATCATAGCACTTTGAGCTACTTTTTCTTTGAGGCTTTTCACCCTAACATAACACTCTAGAAACATACCTAATGCAAAGAACAATTCCTGTGTTGTTAGTGTTAGACTTGTTGTTAGACTTCTTTTATAGGCTCTTTTAAGATTTAAGAACAATTTTCATTACATTATGTATTAAAAAAAACGATTTGGATGTTAAATTGCAGTTTAAGGTAAGCTTTTTTCTTCCTCTCTCTCACTACAGCTCCTGTTTTCTACAGCTTGTGCCCTCTGCTGCTGACGTGAAAGATGAGTTTGTGTGGCAGGAAGGCACTGACACTCCTTAGCAGTGTGTTTGCTGTGTGTAGTCTGGGGCTGCTGGGTATTGCTGTCAGCACTGACTACTGGCTCTACCTGGAGGAGGGGGTCATCCTGCCTCTCAATCAGAGCACTGAAATCCGTATGTCTCTCCATTCAGGGCTCTGGAGGGTCTGTTTTCTTGCAGGTGAGTGAGTGTCTGCGTGCCAATATATGCACTTTCTGTGAGACACTGCCACTTGTTAGTCCTTAAGGTGTGCATATAACACCTTAGTTTACATATGCAACCTTGGTTCCCTGAATAGGGAGGAACGAGACACTGCAGTAGCTGATGTTATGGGAACACCCCCAGGTATGAGGATTGTCTGAAGCCTGTATAAAACATGCTAATTTATTAGCTGTGGTGCTAACGCCAGGAAGAAAGCAAAAACCAAGCAGCATGGCCAGATATGCAGCATCTTGTTCACTACTCGGGACCACTGTGACAAACAGTATGTAACCAAGACATTCCTGAAAACCTTACAAACCCTACTTCACCAATACAGGTGCATCTCAATAAATTAGAATGTCGTGGAAAAGTTCATTTATTTCAGTAATTCAACTCAAATTGTGAAACTCGTGTATTAAATAAATGCAATGCACACAGACTGAAGTAGTTTAAGTCTTTGGTTCTTTTAATTGTGATGATTTTGGCTCACATTTAACAAAAACCCACCAACTCACTATCTCAACAAATTAGAATACTCCATAAGACCAATAAAAAAAAAACTGTAGCCAAATTCCTTGACACGTCTGTGTGTGGTGGCTCTTGATGCCTTGACCCCAGCCTCAGTCCATTCCTTGTGAAGTTCAGTCAAATTCTTGAATCGATTTTGCTTGACAATCCTCATAAGGCTGCGTTTCTCTCGGTTGGTTGTGCATCTTTTTCTTCCACACTTTTTCCTTCCACTCAACTTTTTGTTAACATGCTTGGATACAGCACTCTGTGAACAGCCAGCTTCTTTGGCAATGAATGTTTGTGGCTTACCCTCCTTGTGAAGGGTGTCAATGATTGTATTCTGGACAACTGTCAGATCAGGAGTCTTCCCCATGATTGTGTAGCCTAGCGAATCAAACTGAGAGACCATTTTGAAGGCTCAGGAAATCTTTGCAGGTGTTTTGAGTTGATTAGCTGATTGTCATGTCACCATATTCTAATTTGTTGGTGGGTTTTTGTTAAATGTGAGCCAAAATCATCACAATTAAAAGAACCAAAGACTTAAACTACTTCAGTCTGTGTGCATTGAAGTTATTTAATACACGAGTTTCACAATTTGAGTTGAATTACTGAAATAAATTAACTTTTCCACGACATTCTAATTTATTGAGATGCACCTGTACATTAGAGGATGTTAAGGCCATCAACAGAACCACCGTAAGAGTCAGAAACCTCTTAGCCCTTACCAAAAAGTAGTATACTTCAAGTTTATTTTAGTAAGTATACTTAAGTAAAGTTCAAGTATATTTTTAAGTATACTTTATGTAGTAAGTATACAAATATCAGTGTACTAGTAGTATACTTGTAAGTGTATAAGGGAGGGGCTGACCCCAGAGGTTAAAACAAAACCAATGAGCCCTTCTAATACCACAGATAGGTAGTGTTTCTATAATGAATGAAAACATGATGAAAATGCCTCATCCATCTTGTCTCATGCATAAAACATGAGACAAGTGAATGTCCACCCAAACAAACATTCCAAACCAGCATGTGCTCTTCAAATTGCTGCCAAATTCAACTTATGTGTGGACGGGGTTGTGCCCAAAGAAACACAAGAACTTGCAAGAACTCCTGAACCACCCGAGTAGTAAACTGGGTCCAAATTTCAGTACTTGCACCAGGACACAAATAGTCTCCACTACAGGTCAGCCTTGTCCTATGTCTCACAAAGAGGTTCCTCCAGTAGAGATACCAGATCCGAGAACCAATCTCAGCATGGCCATTGTGGTGCCACTAACAGATGATGAACTCTGTATTCCCGTACTGTTGCCAAGACTCTAGTTTAATTGGTGGAAAGGCATATAATTGTGTGCTTAACCACATGTGAGCTAAGTATCCAAGAAGCCCGGGCGGTAGTCCACAGGTTCATTTCTGCCCTGCTGAACTGCTGCCAATTTAGACTCAAAGACTTAGGGTGCAGCCTCCGATCTCTGGGCCTTAGACCATTCCTCAAGAGGAAATCCATTATCAGATTTTTCAGTTCTGGAATCTATACCGCTTTAAGGGACATAAACTTGTCCTGAGGCGAAAGAAGAATGTGCCGCACCAACCTTCACATGGGGTGCAAACTAACTCCTTCTTTGCCGATTTAGGTAGGAAACTACCATTATGTTGTCTGTCCTGATGACAACATGGCAGTTTTAAAGTATTTGAAAAAAAAGCCAGAAACATAGCCAGCATCTCTAGGCAATTTATGTGCTATGGCGGATGCCCATTCTTTCAGACTCCATAGACTGGGCGACCTTCATAGACCACTCCCCAACCTACCAGGCAGGCATTTATCATAATTGCAACAGACTTATCCTCAAGCCCAGACCTTGCAAATGAGAATTGAGTCTGAACACTGACATGCTACTTCCACGGACTGTGCTAAAATCAGTCAGTCGTCAAGGTAGTTTAGCACACGGATGCTCCAGAGTCTCAGCGGGGCCAGAGCAACAACCATGCACTTTAAAAATATGCAAGTCCTGTGTCTCTGAAAAATCTGAATGTGGAAAGAAGCATCCTTCAGATCTATTGTGACAAACCAACTAAAGTGAGAATGGCTTGGGGAGATATTTGGGGTGATACTGAAAAGGGTTACACACAAGAAAAATGAAGGTTAGTGGTGGTGCACATGCTAATATATCTCTTAAAGTCAATGTTCCGCTAGCTAAATTTAAACAACATGATTGGGGCCAGGGTTTCTCACCTGCGCACAGTTGTTGATGAAATATCTTGATTTTGAGAGTAACATTTGCCAGACTGAAAATTGTTAGATAACTTATATTGCACAGACTGTCATAAGTGATACAATACATATAATACATCCCTGTGTATCAGCCTGTACTTTGTGTTATCCAACCTTTAAATTCTGTTTTTGAAACAAGGATTCCTCTGTACTATCTTTGGTCTAAAATCCAGTCCTTTCACTAACTAATCTTTCAACACTGTACAGTCTTGCAGCAGATTCTGTTCCTCTTCCTGTTTCACCCTGTATTGCCCTTACCTCACAAATAGTATACTGGAATGTTTTATAACGTAAGTAATGGCACTTTGTAGATTACAGGCAACAAATGATTTCAATTCCTCTTCCATTTAGAGTCACCAGCTCCAGCTACAGTGTTACCAACTGGTAAATCAGGTATCTTCCCTTCTCTCACCTCTCTCTTTCTCTCTTTCCTACGATTTCTTGATTTTTTTGAAAGACATTTATACTTTTATTCAGTATGGACACAATAAATTCATCAAAATTGTCAGTAAAGACATTTAAAATGTTACAGAAGATTTATATTTTAAATAAGTGCTTCATTGATGTTTTGGGGAGGAAAATCATGGTTTCCACAAAAAAAAAGACTGATAATAATGATGTTTCTTGAGCACCAAGTCAGCATATTAGGAAGGATCCCATATTTTTGAAGGATCATGTGACACTGATGACTGGAGTGATGAAAATTCAGCTTTACAATTTCACCCTCAGCTAAATTAGATTTAAAATAATATATTAAAATACAAAAATAGCTATTTTACTTTTTAACAATATTTCACAATATTAAAGTTTTTACTGCTTTTTAAAAAAAATCGAATTAAATGTAGCCTTGGAGATAATTAGATACTTATTTCAAACATATTGTTAAAATTTTACAGATCCCAAACTTTCGAACGGTAATGTATTTAACTGATGTAATTATTATTGCAGACACAGTGAATATTATGCTTGTCATTCTTAAAATCACTTAATTCTGTTAATTAGATCTTGAAATACATACGTTGTGAGAGTTATTCTTAATGGATTATATAACAGCATTTTGCACTGGGGTCACATCCATATAGGTCCAAATGGTTCTGGACAAGTATACGTTATTGAGTGGCCTTGTTACTAAAAACCCTACAAAGTAAAACGTTTGACCTACAAACCTTTGCACTCACCAATGTAGCTGACATTCTGATTGTGGTCCACTGGTTAAAAAACTTGTCAACAAACTGTGTAAATTTAGTCTAAAGCATATTAAAAAATTTCCATTGAAGGTGTCAGGTAAACTATGGCAAATCTTGCAAAATAGTTGAGTTAGTTAAAGGGTTAGTTCACCAAAAAATTTAAATTCTGTCATTAATTACTCACCCTCGTGTTGTTCCAAACCCATAAGACCTTTGTTCATCTTCGGAACACAATTTAAGATATTTTTTATGAAATCTGAGGGCTCTCTGACCCTCCCATAGACAGCAAGGTAACTATCACGGCGCCGCCACACGCTCGCGTCATGATACTGTCGTGAACGCGCGACCACAAGTGACGCAGTAGAGACGAAAATGTGGAATAAAGTCGTTATTTTTGTTTTCTTTGCGCAAAAAAGTATTCTCGTAGCTTCGTAACTTTACAGTTGAACCACTGATGTCACACGGACTACTTTGTCGATCATCTTGGTACTTTTCTGGACCTTGAACGTGGTAGTTACCTTGCTGTCTATGGGAGGGTCAGAGAGCCCTCAGATTTCATCAAAAATACCTTAAATTGTGTTCCGAAGATGAACGAAGGTCTTACGGGTTTCGAACAACACGAGGGTGAGTAATTAATGACAGAATTTTCATTTTTGGGTGAACTAACCCTATAAGATATAATATATTAAGATATTAATAAAGAAATATATAAATAGGTACAGGCCTGCCAACTCTCATGCATTCAGCACGAGACAGTCAGAATTCACTCATTGCTAAATGCCACACATAGACACGATGTGAATAAGATATCATATGTGCAGTTTAGAGAGCTTCATTGATTATAACGGAACATTGTGAGGCTGCGATAAATTGAAGTGAGTGACAGGTTTTTAGTGATTATATGGAAGCACTATTTGCTCGCTTTCTAAGCTATAATCAATTCAGAATTTGAATGAAAGTTTTGTTTTACATGCTGCTAACAGGACCAACGGCCACATACCCTGTACATGCA